GAATGCCCTGGCTAACACTGAAAGTACGAGAGCGAACAACCTTCGATAAAATAGAAACTAGCTCTGAAAGGGTTAACATTTAAAAATGTATTAAGAAATGGCTAACCTATGTGTTTTTGACAAATTCATACACTGCTAAGAATCCTGGCTTCCTGGGGCAAATCTTGCAGGTATTGGCACTCTTCAGTTGGAGATTTCAAACTCTGTTTTGTAAGATTTCCATTCAGATAAATGCAACAGACACAAAATATCAACATCGCTGCAGACCTTCTGATGTGTGCCCACACCACTTATCTAGAGGCACAGCTGCACTCAATAAGGTTATAGATCTTGTTTATAACCCACGATGTTGAAGAACCCTCATCTTTAATTTATCCGACTGTGTGTATTTCAGTATACATTGTCTGATATGTGTAATTATTCACTATTAGGATGAATGTTGCCGTCCTGCTGCAGTATGTAGTACTGAAATTCTTCAGCAGAAATGGAGGAGTTGGATGATGTATTATTCACTTCATAGACCATCACAGTTCATCAAGTGAATATATATAAAGTCTGAGTCATTTTTAGACTTTCATAAACATGTATTATTCAGACTGAAAAGAATGGACCCATCTTACCTTCAACACACTCTTGGAGAATAATGAGAGCTTGTAACCTGTTGTAGCTGGCTAATCTGTGTATTGGATTATACTGCATTAAAATGAATTATCAAATATTTCATTTGATTTCTTAATTTAAAATATCCACAGAACAATATCGATCAGATACTGTGAACTGTCAAGCTCAACATGATTTACAGGGATGTCAAATTAAAAGAAGCACAAAAATCTTTGGCAGAAAAAAAGGTCTGCTGGTTCAAAATGACAACCAGGATTTTCTTCAATTTCTTTTGGACTCAAACTATCTATGCTAAATTTCAGCTCAGAGTTTTTCAGCGAGAGCTATCTGTGAAGACCATGGCATAATGTTTATAGTGAGAACTTATCATTTCAGTGATGATATTTTAATTATAAAGAAAAAGAAACAAAGGCACAGACAATATAGCCGCATGGCCCCTTTTTTTTTCCCCTCTTGTTAGTGGAGATGACAAGATGGATTTAAAGAGTGGACTACCTCATTAAAAAAAAGAAGTACAAAGGGAAATCACTGACATTTAGAATCCCTGCAGCAAAAACCAATACTTACGTGTTGTGGCACTTTAATGAAAATATTGGAAGACGTTTTCAACCCCTTCCTCCTCACTTCAAAACTAAAATAAAAAGCCCTAAACAGAACAGTGTCTCAAGGCTCACAAACACTGCTTCAATTTTATTATACCTCTGAATGTTAGGAGTTTTCATTTTGTTAACTAGATGACTACCAGATTTGAGGAAATATAAGGATTACCCTTCCATAGACTCCAAAGTAAGTATTTTCTGCCTTACATGTCAGACATAAAAGCACTTCTTATCGATATTTATGATTGACATGGATGCTCCATCACTGAAGCGATCCAAGTTTCATGTCCATGAGTCTCGGAACTTGGTTTTTAAAGCCACATAACCAAAATGGACATGTTAAAATTGAAATGGACTCACTCCAACCAGTTCAGTTGTACCCATAGTACTGCAGAGGTTACTGGTGTGTCCAATGCCGAAGGCTGTGCCGTATAATGTCTTTTTAAGCAAACAGACTTTGCTGTTTCCAAGAATTCATCTTGACAAATACACAAACAAAATGATAATATAGAAATCTAATTGTAAGCTTGATCTTCATTTTATCTGTTGTTGCTACTGTTTTTGGATTGTACTATTACCTATAAAGTTTTGATGAATATCTTGAGTTCCAGTTTCTTTGGGGAAATTATAAAAACTCCGTTTCCTTTCATTTTTTTTACCTACTAACTATACTTACAAGCACCATGGCCTGGCTATTTTTGCATCATAGCTTTACTAGAGAAGGGTGCCACTGCTTTTGATCTAGGGTTTTCCTCACAAGCGTTCTTCCCGAAGCTGCAAATGTGATCGACATTTCAGATGCCGTATTTATGACTCTTTCTTTACATTACATTTAACACTATTCGTACAAGCCATTACCTGAATGCTTCTTTCTGAGAAGGGCTCCTCTAGGGACTAGACTTATTAGTGAAGTTGGGAACAGCATTTCCATAACCCTTCCTTTCACTGACTGAAGCTGATTTATAGAGCTATTGGCTCAGATCATTTGACACACACAAAAAAAATGCTTGTTTGTTATCAAGAGGCACTAAATATTACAGTAAGAACTCTAGAGATTTACCAAGAGGAAGATGGAGAGGGCATTAGATTTGTTTTTCTGTTTTTCTATTTGCAAGTAAATAAATTTTAGATTTAATAAGTTATTCTTAGGGGCAAAAGAAAAACACAGCTTTAAACAAAATATAGTTGCAAAATAACACACACATGCAATTCTACTAATGACCACGGTTTATGATGATTTTGAATAGACGGCATTCAATATGGACAACTTTTTTTTTTAAAGATAGTATTAGACAAGCAATCATAGTTTGCTGTTCTCCTCAAAAGAGCAGAGACCAATAAAGAGGCATCACCAAGATGTGTTTCTTTACCACACCTGCCATAAAAGTGAGGGGATGGGGTAGAAGCAGGCCAACATATTAATAGATTACAGAAAGCCCACAAAATAAAAGCTTGTTTTTATACAGCAGAGTGCTCGTCTTGGAGTAGTTGTATGAGATATCGTGCAAGTGTGACTGTGAAGGTCTGCAGGGGGGTGAACGTCCAACTGCTTGTTCTGCTCCTTGTAAGTGGGCTTTGCAGCTTGGGCCAAGCTCTGAGCGGCTCCGTGTAACTACAGAGCGAGCAGTACCCAAACGAGCTCAGATACATCTGCGTGAGCTGCAGCGGTGGACACAGACCTAGGAGGATCATATGTGCATGGCTGTGGGTATCCCAGATGTTGTTTCTTTCTTAGACGGAAACCAAGTATACCTAAGAAGTGCCCATATCTTTATATCTCCCTTCATTTCCGTAGAAAGACAACTTCCAAGTTAAGTCATTTCATTCGAGAAGGTGAAAGCCCTTGGTTTCACAGTGCTAACAATCCAGAAGCACCTACAGATTTCCTTAATCAAGCAGGCAAGGGAGGGAGACGGAAAGGATGGAGAGTCAGTGCACGTCTCACCCCTCTGCCATCCCTACATGACAATCTGTCCTCCTGCCCCACCACTCTCAGACATTGCTGAATGGAAAGCAAATTACCAAGCATCACCCAAAACCCCAAGCCATTTCACATGTAAACATGACTATTAGGGCATAAGAGTTATAGTTAATTCAGTAGTCAGCAGAGAGGAATATTTCATCGCTATCACGGAAGAAGAATCAGAAGAACAAATATGAACTTCATTTAGCACTTAGCTGAGCTGAAAGAGGACTGGTAAACAATTTTTAATGAGGATACTGTACCTAATGTAACTGGATCTGGATTCACTGGGCTCTGCTGTCTGGAATGACTACTGCTGCTGTTACCGCCTTTTTTTAAATCTTCCGCATCACTGTACCGCCGTATCCAGTAATTAAGCTCCTCACGGTCTGCTTCTTGACATCGCCGTAGTACAGTGAGAGATCGCCTAGTTTTTTCCACCATGTCCATTATACAGTTTAACAGCTATTCACAGTGGTGGATGGAGCAGAGAAAGAAAAAAGAACATTTTATTCATAAACTGACAGAAAAATAAAGAAAACATTAATGTGCTGAGTGCCTGGGTTTTAAGAATGAAGGAACCTCTCCCTGTTATTTCAAATACAGGGTTTTTTTAAGAATGACAATCCCTTCCTGTTTAACTGGTGTCCCTAAACTGTACAGATACAGATTTCTAGGGGAGAGGGAGAAGAAGAGGACTAGAAGACTGAACAGACGGTAGTCCCACCACTAGTATCACATGGCACCATGGAGGCCAGGAGATCTGGTTCAGAACTGATGCCTACAAATGTTATGAGCGCTAATAAATCCAAAGAACAAATCCAATTAACCAGTACTAAGGGCAAGGGTCATATGTCCCAGACCCAGGGTTTACAGACAAGAGTCTACTCCCCTTTTGGCAGCCAGCCTGTAATAATTAGGATACTGCAATAGGCACTTAACAGCAACGTCTGATATGAGCTACCTAATGGGGAACATCAAGGCCCTGGATTTAACCACCAATGTTTTCAAAACCAGGGATTCAGATTTGTTTTAAAAGAAAAAGTTTAAAGTCCTATCTTAGAAGGACTCCTTTCAGACAATTATATGTAAGAGTACATTTAGCTCTTACATGGTCAAGGTGTTTCCACTCTTCTGCCCATTCTCTGTCTGTTAGCCTGTGATCAATCATTTCTTCTTGACGTGTGCCATGCAACCCTGCCAAAAAGGAGCAAATCATGTTTACAATTTTGGGAGTCCTCTAGGGGGAAAAAAAAACATAAAAAGAGCTTATCAGACAAATGTATCATACGCTACTTGGTCTAGTATGAGGAATGCCACCACAAAAATAAATGGATGCTTAAAAACTTTTCTCTAAGTTCTCTTTAGCACTTTTCCCCACACAAGATACTACTGGTTTACTCAATTTAATGTTCTTCAATTCTGCAAGTTCTGTAGGTTGCAAGATGACCTCTCAAAAATTGACATAACCCTTTCTGACTATATGCGTTTATTTTTTATATATATATATATATAACATATCATACAATATATAATTTTTCATTTACACTACTTGAAGAAGTCGGCAAGACAATTATTTGGTAACTCAATGTATTGAATACTAGCTGTACTTCAGAGAGCTGAAAAAATATTAGTATAAACTCAACGTTATTTCACTAAATGCAGTAATTACTACCACGTCAACAGAGCATCATTAAGGGTTCATCCCTTCACAGATGTTTAAACAACATGTGGTTAAAATGTAGCACATATATCAGAGCAGCTGACAACATGATACAACCAAGCCAGTATTTATTATCAACACTCAAGAGGAACCGACACTTGCTCTTTGTTTAGCCTCCTCTATACAGATGCTGAATATTTGTAAACGTTCCTCTTTTATTGAAGATTTGTTTAAAACAAGGAAGAACAGTAAGTGCAGATGTGAAGCAAGCCAGGCAAATCCAAGAGCATCAGACATCCCATTAAACCAAAACATGCTGCAAGGGCAGCCCTGCGCGGGGTGCGGTTGGTGCTTCTGCGGTTCGCATCCTCTGCAGACATCCCCATGCTGCAGCGCAGTCTTGAGATGTCACACATGAAACACTTCTCCAAAGGCTTTCCTCTAGTCTGAGCTGAAATCAAGCTATATCGATGTCGTTACCGTCACAAATTGTGGCATTGAAAGAAAAATAAAAGGCTCTACCTATCCTTGCCTGCCAAACACCTGAGTGTCCATGTCATCTATGCAGCTGTGAAAGCACAGGTTCCTCCTCCTTCTGACTCTCTTGCTTTGGAGTGTAGCAAAGGCACAATTCCATCCACTTTTACAAATATAAATCTGAAATAAGGCCATTAGAAGCAGCTAGATGGATAAACACCTATAAAGGCTACATCTGGACAGCAGGTATATTTATTCAGCAAAAAAAAGCCTGTTCAAAATACAGAATATAATTACAAGGAAAAGAGAAACCTAAAAAAACCAATGCAGAAAATCAACATGCCTTACCCATAGGTCTGTTTCTGTCCCTGAGGTCCCTGTGGTTGGGGTGTCTGTATGAGTCCCTGTAGTGATGGGCAATGGCCATATCATCCAAACGATAATGCTGAGGTGGAGGTGGGGTGGGATGAGGCAGACCATTGGGCTGATAAGATAAGCCATTATTTGGACTGTACCGCTGGCCTGGGCTAATAGTGCAGGGCCGCTTGCTTGGATGCTCTGAGTGCAAAGGCTCTCTGTCAAAGCCATTTTCTTTGGTTCTGAAAAACAAAGCAGAGGAACTTGAATTCACTTAGCGAGCAGAGCTGCTCAGGAACACGCACCCCCACCTACACGTGCAGCTTCAGGAACGAAAGCTTGTTCTTTCGCTTTGCTCCAAGTGTGTGGTGTTGCAGAACATTTCATAACACCGCTCATTCAAGATACACAAAGGACACATTCACCTTGTCTAACTATCCCTGTAACTTGAGAAATATTAGCAGGGTGAGCTTTCTGATGGAGCGGCTTAAAGAGTTGGGCTGGAGAGCGAGCAGCCTTCGCTGAAATCACCGGCTGATGGGATGGATACACGCGTGATTGCAGAGCTGAAACAATCAACTGATAAATGAAGCTAGAGACTGAGAAATTCCTGCTTTCAGTAGTGCTGTAGCATACAGTGATTAGGGGAAATTTACAGTTAAAGAAATGTGGGTTTTTTTCAAGAGGATAGCTTAAGGTAGTGCATGTCAGTATGCTGAAGCTCGGCTCTACGTAATGCCAGGATGAGCTCTCATCAAGATCAGTGTCACGCTGAGACTTTGGGCAAGAATGACTCCAGATGATGAGAAATGCTTCCTTCAGAGATTTTTGTACCATCTGGGCTATTTCAGTCAAAGGTGCTGTGCCTGTCATTAATTTTGCAGGAAGATGTGGTTAGACTTAAATCCTCAATAACGTTCAAGATTTCCCACTCCATTCCTCTTAGGGGTTTTATGCTCAGACAACTTTGAAGAGTTATGAGGGAGAAGGGCAGTTTTTTACATTATAGACACTCGTTAATTCAATTCATAATCATCTATTTCCAAAGAAGTCTCTATTTTGCACCTCTGCCTGAGACCCTGGAACTCACACTGAACTCATCTTCCATTAAAATAAAAAAAGGTAGGCTAGAGTTACTTCAATGGGTACACACTGCTTTCAGGGAAGCTTTGTTTCACTGAAGTACGGGAGTTTTTTGCCACTGGAATAAACAAAACCTACAAAATATTAGCTTTGAACAGAAAGCTTATTAGATATAAATATCGCAAACTGTTGAGGTTGCATCCCTCTCTCCAAAACCTTTTATTAAACAGCTGATATATTCCAGCCTTTTTTAAAGAGAACTGTCTCCTCTGTGATGTACAGATGGCATAATATGTCTTCCTAGTAATACAATTTTTTGTCACTTTGACAGGAAGGTAGATTTGATTTAATTTTCTTGTTTGTTTGCTGTTAAAACCAACTGCCCTTCCACAAACCCTCCTCCATAAACCAACCAACCTTGAGGGACTGTCCGTGGAGAAACACTCAATGTATTAATTGTTGCCCCTCAATAGGTTCTCCTTTAATGTCAATGAGAGGAAGGATGAAACCAAGTCTTTGCCAATATCCACTGGGAGAGAGGATCAAAGTAAGATCTTGCAACTACCAACAGGAAATTAAAAGATGGGTTGCACTGTTTTCAGAAGGAGCAAGGAGATTTTCCAGGGACCTCATCACAATCACTAATGCCAGAGAAGCTGCAGGTATATGTATTTTATTATACCTTAACTTGGCAAAGAGGGGAGAATCTTTCACCAATACAGCAGGACAGCTGTCCTAATTTTGGGCACAAATACAGAAGACATACTTTGTTAAAAGAGGAGCATGTACCTTGTTCCAAAGCAAACGCAGAATGGCTGTGAAAACTCCTAATCAGGAAAACCTGAGGACCATCATACATTTTTAATGACTTTTGGCACGATGGAACTGCTTGCAATAGTTCCCAATGGGTAGTGATGTTTTTGACAGCTCTCCAACACAAGTTTTGTATTTAGTTGCTGGTGTTTTCTTTGCACATATCTACTCAAACTCCATGTCCAGGTCTTTCAATTGTAAAAATACTATGCAAGCAAAAAATTGACATCCCTGTATATACAAGCCAAGCTATTCATTTGCCAAAGTTCTTTAGTGTTACAGTTAAAATGATCTCTAACTAAGATGGGGAAAAAATCAGAAACTGTAAATAATTTAAAAACTTCATTGACTTTTTTTGATCACTCAGTGTAGGAAAAGCAAACCAGAAAACTGTGACAAGTAGGAATCCAGTTTTCCTTTTCTGCACTATAATTAGATGTTAAAATCATGTATTTTCATACAAATGTACATATTTGCACCTTACTGTACATGTACTTCTGTATCTTTTTAGGAATGCTTTGTACTTAAGTACCTTAACTGAAATACACTGCATTAGCTTGGACAACACACCAGCTTATCCATTTTCTCCTAGAACCCTGAGTTTAACTAACATAGAAATTAACATTACCATTGAAAACACATTTACTGAAATTGAATTTCTATTTTTGCTATTACGCTGGGTAACAGCTCTCAGATCTTTTCTGGGTGTTAAAACCTTAATTCTACAATTTGTTGTTATATTTTCTGCACTGACCAAATAAACAACTTAGCAGAATACCAGAATGACACTGTACATAAACTCATTTTGTGTTTCTGACCAACAACTTCCAAAGTCTCATCAGAACAGGAATCACTGGCAAATTTACTATATCTGAATATACTGACTATAGTGATAAAAGACAAAGTATTGAAGAGTGCCATAATTCAGATGCCTTGAACTCAACCTACTATTCTGCTTCTGATCTCAGTCCTGCTCATTTTTCCAGGTCTCACCCCCTTGGGACAGCAGCATTTCCCCAGGTGCCGGAGGAGGCACTCCTGTTTCACAGGAACTGGCAGACCCATGCGAGTACTAGTTTCAAATCCAAACTCGCCACAATCTTAACCTGATTTCGTCTGATTTTTATCTGATCCATTTGATTTTGCAAAGCAACAGCAAGCTGTAAAGAGGAAATAACATAGAATGTGTAGGAAGCCTAACTGACACATTTTCTTGTTTTTCTTTTTCTTGCTCCTGTTGGTAACATTTTCCCTGACGTGCACATAAATCGACACTGTTGTTTGGAAAACTGGCAATATGATAACGATGGGGTCCTTCAGCTATAAACATGCAAGAGGTCATTTTACTTGGAGCCATGATTTACTCAGATTAAAGATAGCAGAATAGATACTAGTCATTAGTCTTAACAGACTTTATGTTGTTTGTAAGTTATCATTTCAGTTTTAAATTATTGCAATTTATGGATAATTCCCTGGGTACGAAATGACCACACAAAACTTCCTTGGCTGGAAAACAAAGTTTCACCTGATCAAGAGTATTACACCAATTTTGCTGAACACTGAAGTCAGCTTGCAAGAAGGAGGCAAAGCTGTTCATCTGCTACTTGTGCAAGATGCTTTGATTAAAATTGGACTTCCACCAATGAAGTCTTGATGACCAAACAAGTGATCGTGCTTTGCTGGAATAAAATACTTATTTTGTTTATAATACTGTGTTACAGAAAAGATTAATATTGCCTTGCTAACAGTTCATATTAAGAAAATTCTTTTAAAACTCCTCATAATTACACATGGCTTACAAGGAGCATAGCTGTAAGAGCGGTGAGCATCCTTCACCTTATTGAGATGTGGAGGACCTTCTTCAAATAAGAAGATTTACCTAACAGAATTATCAAAGTCGGCCTCTGTGCCCAAGTACCTTCGACATGAATTCCTTGTCCAGGGTGCCAAGGATGCAAGCAAGCACAGCAGCACTTTCTAAAGTCACAAAACAACCATGGCCACTTTTGTTTTCTTCTCACTCAAAATTAGAGCTATTCTAACAGATTTTTTTGTTATCCTATATCCACTTTGTAGGCAGCTGTTATAAATGTAGAGTCACTATATGACACGCTGATGTGCCATACAGCCCTTCCCAGCAAGCTCAAAGGATGATTAATTAGCAAAAAGTGTTTTGTGGTTAATGTATTTAAAATCATGTTATTTATAATTAAGCATTCATTCACCAAAATAAAAACTCACATTGGTCCAAGTTCCTTTGCTTTACTACAGTAGAATGTAAACTCCAAAAGTTGTAAACAAAATATAGTGAACACTTTGTTCATGACATGTCATGAACAAATTACCAAAATGTGTTGTCTCCTCAGGTGTCAGTTTTTCTCTCTTGCAGTGACTGATGGTTCCCAGTGTTATTACAGAAACAGATTGATCTTTTTAATGAGCTAGTTTAATAGACTCCAAAATCTCACCGTGGCTGCTCATCCGTGTCAGACCATATGCACCAAGAAAACATTCAGTAAAACACAAAGCTCTGCTGTCAGATTGCTCTATAAAACCTCACATACAGTAGACTTGGATATGCAGATAAATACCCAGAATTGGAAAACGCATATGCAAAAAAAGGTTCTGAAATTATAAGCAGAAAAAAGTACTGTATGTTGATTTTCTTTAACAAAAAAATCATGAGGTGGATGTGGTTATGTGCAACACACACATTCCACTTCCTTTGCGTAATTCCTTACTGTATTTTACCTCTATTGGAATCAAGGGTATGCAGTTACCCGTGGCCAAAAGAAAAATGTAAATATGGAAGAACGTGTGTATATATATTTCTAATGTATACGCGTATGTATCATATGCACACACACGCATCTATATATGATATATATATTACATACACATTATATACAATGTGTGTGTGTATATATCTATATATATCTATGTATATACTTATCATATATATATTCTATCATACCCCTTGGGAAGTGAAAAAGATACCACAATTTACTTTATTGAGATACATATCTCCAAACAAAATTATTCCAACTGCATTTAGTTCCCCTGGAAAGATGTTGCCTTTTAGTCATTTTTTTCCATATTCTAGGAACAGAGTCACAGCAAACCCTCCTCTTAAAGGATGCCTCGTACCTTCTGCTGTATTTTTATATTTGAAAACTGCTTAGATATCTAAACAAAAGGTATACATATTTCCAGATGTTTCCTCCTGTTCCTCTGAAAACAATTTAAATAATTAATAGTGTAATGAGTATAAAGCCAGACAAGTATTTGGTTTCAGTCTAGGCATGCTCTGACTCTGAGGACAGTTTTTTGTGGTTGATTTACTTACATTATCCAAATTAAAACGTATGCAAACTCCCATTCAGTAAATTTAAGAATCTTTCCAACAGGATCTTGTTCGTTTTACTAAATCTGTAGTACAAATGTTCTTGAGTGCACGAGACAACTCCACTGAACTTGGTTCAGCCAAAACTACTGTATGAGTTTATTTTTTTCTGTATGGCTTTAATCATAGTCAACGGAGAAGTAGGTGTGACTAACCAGTGGCAGGGTGGTTTGAAACTGCAAAAAACCAGCTTATTTTTTAAGCTCAAGGCACCATTCCAATGGGTGAGCTGGGCAGTCTCTTTCCAGGTCTTTCATGACAGCAAAGAATCTCAGGGTCAAAAAAGAAAGGATAGGTTTTCCTGAAGCACCACTTCCCCAGAACTAAGGAGCCTAATTTCAAGCAGCGATCGACAGAAGCTGCCGGTTGATAGCTCTGGCACCTCGGAGCACGCAGGCCAGTGGGACACCCCGCATTACAGCCGTCCCTGGACCCTGGGAATTCAAATGCAGGGTCTTACCCACAACACTGGAAGTTAAACTGTCTACCCCTCACCCCAAAAGCTGCATTACTACCTGGAGAGGAACTGAAGACTCCCCGAGCTGGACGGAGCCTAAGAGAGATTTCAGTTGTGAAGGCAAAGGCACTTGCTCGTGAGCAGAGACTTCGAGTTTCAAGAGCACCTATGTATTTTACAGTAAAAAGGAACTGAGAACAAAATCCATAAACCAGACTTAAACCTCTCTAGGTCTAGGCCTCAGTTTTAATTAAAAGATGAAGTCTGACTTTAAAATCCAATATTCTTCTGATCTGCCAGTCTCCTTAAGTGCTACTCCTATGTCCTTTTTGCTATAAGACTAGTAAGTGTCTTTTCATTACTAAGTTCTTGTACCAGTCTTCACCTGCACCATCCATCCCCTCCCATGCAGCCAGGACCGAAGGTACCCCAGGTGAGACTGTACTTATTACAAAATAACCAAGATTCAACACTGTCAAACTGGGCCTCAAAGGGAAGAAGTATTATTCCAGAATGCTAAGAAAGAAAAACAAAGGAAATATTTTATTGCCCATTTTTCCTTTGTGGCCTTGTGGGAGAAGCGAGTAATATTGCTCTCTATTAACAGGAAAAAAAGTAAGCTAGGGCTGTCAGGAAGGCACGTCCCTCTTCTCCTCTGTATTCTCTGTCAAGCAAGACCTCACGGGCTTATGAGATAATGTAATGTGTGTCTATCTATTTGTAGGAAAAAAACCGTGTCTGCTACTGACACTGGACTACAGCATGCTGGTATTTAAGTTATTCGCAAGATGCACAAGATTTTAAGAGGCCTTTTTAATAGATGTTTTGGTACACCACTCTGCAAAGACTGAGGACACGGAGCAGAACTGCCCCAGGGAGCCAAATTTCAGCTTTGGAATGTTATCTCTTTGCACAGAGTAAGAGACTACATGGAAAATGTCTGAAAATTAATCATCTTTCTTGGATGTAGTTAGCAGGCTTGTGTTAACACCAATGGCTGTTTCAGTTTGGTCTAGTTGTCAGGAAAAAATGGTGAAAAGAGGGTATACGGAAAAGGGCTTCTCTGCTGGTATCTTTATTTTCTTGCTGGTCCATATGGATTTTCCTGAAACACAATCTAAAGCGAAATACTTTCACATTTTTGTCTATCCAATGGCTATGTTACTTTAATTTTTACTGCTTAGTTCTGGCTCTGAGTAGCTTTAAGTTCTACTATGCAGACATTTTCAAGATCTTGCATCTACATCATTAGTTTCTCACTTCCATAATATGCTCAAATATTTGGTGTTGAATTTTTGCCTACCAGCCTCAGGAACTTTCAGACTTTGTTTTCTCCATAGGCTTTGTGCTATCACAGCCTGTCCCTACACCAAAATGTCACCTGTACAAACTTGCAAGCCTTCTCGATTTTGCAAATCTTCACCTTTTTCATTTAAGAGATAACTAGGACACTTGCAGTGCCTTGTGCATGCAGGTAGTGGCATTTGGCAGAACAGCATTATGAAAGTTTTCCATACTATAAATCCATGGCAAACAAAACTAAGAAAAAACTAGTATTTGGGCCTCAGAAAGGTAACATTTATATGCTAGCCGAATTTCTAACACTAAAACAGGAAAACAGTTAAAAATAAGTAACCACAAGAGTCATTTTCTTGTAACACTAAACAAAGAACTTTATTCAAATAAGAAAAAGAGAAAATTGTTCCATATCCCTAAAGCTACTGTACTTCGCACATGCGCACTCGCTTCCCCTGCATGGAGTCTTTCTCAGCTCAACAAAAAAACAGATTTCAGTGAACATTTCTCCTGTTTGGAAGAAATATCCTTGTGGATATTGGATATATGGATATGGAAACATGGCACAGCAGAAGAAGTCAAAGCCCTAACTGCACTCTGGAGCTTGCCTTGTACTTCCCAATATGAGTGCCTAGCCACTTTCCCCATATTTACTGTTTAATCCAAAAAAACCTCAAATACAAAGGACTTGCATATGGAGCTGGAGTGATCTGCTGCTCATCACTTTACGCTGCAGAGAAATACTATGCACTAAATAACTGGTATGGCACTGGCCGGCCAGTATTATCTCTATGTAGATATGACCACAGTGTGTCCTCAGGCAATTTTGCTGCCTGAGTCAGTGTGTGCATGTATCTATATATCTAGATACATACACGTGCATACACACATACACAAAGGTAATTTGGCCATTGCACAGCTGTAATGAGGGCAGGACCTGCACCCAGGGAACACCATCCCAGTTCCCCCCAGGCACCCACCCACACGCTCGCCCTTTGCTAGCGGAGCTCGGCACCTTCAACCCACGGGACATTTCTGAGCGGGGTGTGAAAGGTGCGGCGGTGCTCACCTGTCTGGAGTTCGCCTCTTCCCGTTTTCGTTCACATCGAGAAGCAGCTCTGAGGAGTCAACAGGTGAGGTGGTGCTGGCATCCAGAAGCAGCTGTTCGTGCTGGGCGAGGTACTGGGCTGGGTTCTGCTTGGCTAGCCTTGCACAGTGCAGCAGCTCCCGCTGCAGCAGGGGCAGATTGGCCTGCAAGAGCGTTGCACATGTTAAGAGGGCGGCTTGCAGGCAGTTTCAACAGAGATGAAGCAGAAAAATCAGAAATCAAAGGAAAGCCTGCTCTGGGATGAACCTGTTGCAAGCATCCTTGATTAGGTTTGTTGTGGTTAGCTGCCTGAAAGCAGGCAGCCTCCTTACAGGGTCGGGTCATGGCTGTGGTACATTATGCATGGAAGGATGGGAGTTTACTTACAAAAATGGAAAACAAAACTGCAAATGCTGTGAGAAAACTAGGTCTGAGCTCTACATCTTTAAAAGGGGAAAAAGCACTGCCCTGCCTGACTTCATCGCCTTTCTTACCATCCAAAACCTGAGTTCCTATGGAGCAGCAGTTTTCAACAAGTAACAAACCTCTTCAATATTTGTTTCCCATTCAGACTGCAGTTAGTACTTAGAAATCGTTCGAAACCATAGGATCCACGGCTCTGTAAGTTGCCTCTGTCACCATCCTTCAAGGGTCTTGGCGAGAACAGTATTGCCCTCAGCTTTCCCATTACACTTGCAGTTACACATTAAGATAAGGATTACAACAAAATCTCATGTTCCAGAGCTTCAGTTAATCACGCGGAGGGCTACGACCCTTCTCCTCCCCAGATGTACCTTGAGGTATCTTTAACCTTCCTCTCAGGGCCCCACCGGGACTTGGGTCATCGGCTGGAGAGTACCAGGACTCAGACACAGAGAACTGAAAATACTCATTGATCCCTGGGTGGCACATTTTGCCCATCTACTGGGGTCATACTTAGTCATACTTCTTGCCAGATTTGGGACCAAGGTGGAACTGTATGACCTTTCCATCGGAGGAGATAGTTACAAATCCTGGGAAACTTCTTCCTTTCTTTGCAGCATATGCATACATCGATACTACGAAAGCCCAGTCATTTCTTACCTACTTATTTGTGCCATAAGGTGATATGCCCTGACCTCTCTTGTTCCATGCCTACCGCACAATGATTTGTTGCCTGGGGATTTTCAAGTATTGGATTAAATTTCATGACCTTTAGTAACTAGAGGTAAGACAAAGAACTCCAATGGTCCCCTTTGCTTTGAAAAAACCTCCCGGGGGGCAGGTGCAATCCTTTTTTTAAATATAAGTCAAAAAGGTTCTGAAACTAATGTGCAGGGAACAAAGCAAAAAAAGCAGATTTCTGGAAAGTTTTGAGCACAGGATCTTGGTAAATTACTTTGGTAGCATTATAACAATGGCAAATGCTCCAGCACCTGTTGCTGTACCATAAGAGTAGATCCACTGTGCAACAAAAAAATGCCAGAATAGGCTTAGTACATATGAAGCTTTTCAACAGTGAAAAAAACCCCCAGCAATTGCTATCACTTACTCATCTTAGGATGGGAAGACAGCCGATTGTGGACCATGAAGTCTTTTCAGACCTCCAGAGAATACAAATATTTTGTGAAAGTACCAAAGAAATCTCTTCTTTCAGTTATTATCTGTCACATTTTTGTCCAGGGCTACCACATAACAGAGAGAGATACTGAATGCTTTTGTGAGCAGGGTTTTTCACTTGTTTTCATTCGATTGTTATTTTTTAAAAGCTCACACAGAATCAAAGTCAAGACATCCAACTATCTAAACTGCCTCAAGTGGCAGAAAATGATTGGAGAAGTTTACATATATTTACAAATAAGTATCTGGAGGAAATAACAGGATCAGACCTAGGATTTTAGTAGTGGTGCATACCTGGAAGATGTATGATCACACCTCAGTACTCCTGTGAGGTAGAAATGTGAAGTCCCCACTTTGCAGTTGAGAAATCAAGGAAAAACAACACATTTGTGTTCCTTATCCACTATCGCAAACCAAAGGGACCTATTTCATGCATGAGCACTCCTGGCTCCTGGAAACAACCAAATTTTGAAATCGGTAGCAAAAACCTTGATTTATTTTTCTTGTTTTCCTTCTCCTAAAGAAATATTCATTCTTGCTCTTTAACCATAAACATGAAGATTTGCAGTTAAAGGTATATCCTTTATTCTAAATGGATTGAACATGTTTTCTGTGCACAGAACAGATGTGTACAACTTTTAATTTATTTATTAAACATGGATCTACTCAGTTTCTTAATTTTTTAGAAGTTATTATAGCAAGCTAGGAATGACATGCCTCGTAATTTGGGTTTATAATGGCATCAAGCAACTTTTGGACAAAGACTTAAACTCAAAGAAAAGCAGTATTTGAAAACTTTTAGTTCAACACAACTACTTTCAATTTGCTCAAGACATTATTCTAAATAATCTTTGTCAAACCATATAGTAAAAAATAATTAGTTTATTGGAAGAAAAAAAATCAGGACCTCTCTGTTAGGACTCTAGGTTAAGCGTAGAGACAGCTTCTGGTCACCATGGCCCCGATACACAACAAGAACTAGTTTTTGGGGAGCTGGGTGCAGAATGAAGCTCCCTACTGTGAGCAGGGAGAGATCAGCCTCCCAAGGCAACTCAAGCGTACTCATACAGACTCTGAAACCAAAATGGCCTTGGACACAAAGGCTTATGCAGAGGTTCAGCTCTGACAGCAGAGGCAGGTCTGTCAACGTGCAGTAGCACATTTCTCCCAGCATCGCTGCCGGTGCCTGCAGACAGACTTCTACACCTCTACATGTGAGAGATACAAACCAGTTCTCGACCAAAAGCCAGATATATATGTTAGAGAAACACTGACTGCAAACAAACATGATATTACTGGCTTACAGTCCCCCAAAATGTTGCACTTCAGTGTCTGGAATATGCTCCTACTCTTGTTTTGCATTGGACCTTACATCCTTCAAGAATTAGGTAGTGTCTTTGCCTCCTCCATCAGTTTTATAATCACAGATAGGAAGAGAAGAACATGGTTTTTACCCAGCTGTCAGACCTGTTTTCCAGTTTGAAATGAACTGTTCTAACCAGAAAAAAAACCATTATCTCTGCACCTGCAAAAGAAGCTACAGCTCCTAAAGGCTGCTTTATCATTTCGGTACTCACTCCAGGTAATTAGTTAATAATTTTCCATCGTTGGATGTTCCTATTTTCTTCAAAACTTTACCAACAGAATTTTTTCAGTATTATAATTTAAATTAAAAAGACCTCCTTAGAATAAAGTATAATTAGGCTTTGATGCAAGTTTTTATAATTGCAAGTTTAAATAAATCATTTACAGACATATTTAAAAAAAAAAAAAAAAATTGATACAAATTTTTGTTCAGAGAGCCCAAGTAACTAAAAATTATCAAATCATACATTGATACTGATGCTTAGAACACATATGCACAGCACGTCTATTGAAAAACAGAGTGTTGGCAGTACTGAACATGTACACCATGTACCACTTAAATTTAATAGACTAAATCCTGCTTGATATTAATATAGAAAATGTGCACAAAAAGGCTCCCAGCCAATGAAGGTTTCTGCAGGTGAATGATCTTATCTTCCTCTGAACCAGAACTGGTAAAAAGATAAGCAATTCGATGACTATTTATTAGCTGTAATAGATCAGCGCTCCCTGGCATGAGGCACCGTACAAACACATGGTGAGGGGTAGCTCCTTTCCCAGAATTTTTATTACAGAAGCACAAATACCAGCTTCCGACTGCAACATAGTGTTTGATAGACCTAGCAATCCGTAGTGGATCTAGACCAGACAGGATATACAGCGTGTGAAAGGTTTCAAGAAGGTTTGAGCGAGTTACCTACAGTCAGGTAACAGATCAGAGGCAAAGCTGGGACGAGAAAACAGGTCTGGCCTCAGGACAAGGCACAGAAGGGACTGCAGGGCCCAGGAGTCTCTCTCTCGCCATGGTAAAGCTGCGGGGCACGGCAGAGATCCTAGCTCTGGTCCTGAGAAGCGGTACTGCCATGTTAGCACAGTCTTGAAGGCAAAAA